AGACTGTATCCACAAACGAGAAACTAACATTTAAGGCCTAACTACATCAGGAGAGCCCAAATAATTCAATTAGGGGGCGCCTCTAGAACACTTAGCTCAGTAGATCTGAGCAAGTGCCCCATTGGGTCACATAAATCACTGAATACATAGGACAACCCCACAAAAAAAGTTGAGTAACATAGCAATTGGATCTAACACATAGGAAAAATAACAATGGGGCAGAAAAAGTGGGGAGAAAAAGAAACAATCTCCAAAGGAAAGGAAGTCACCAGAGAGGAACTAAATGAAATGGATGCAAGTAATTTGTCAGAGAAAGAATCCAGAGTAATGGTTATAAGGTTGCTCAAACATCCGGATGACCAATACACAATTATAAGGATCTGAGTGAGAATTACATCAGCATGAATAAGTACTAAGAGGAAATGAAGAATGACAGATACAATAAAAAACACAATGGAAGGTTTCAACAGTAGACTAGAAGAAGATGAGGGCCAAATTTGTGAGTTAGAAGACAAAGTAGAAAAAAACACCCAAGCAGAGCAGCAAATGGGAAAAAAAGTTAAAAAACAGGAGAAGAATCTAAGTGAGCTTTGGGATAACTTGAAACGAAACAACGTCTTCATAATTGGGGTGCCAGAAGGATAGGAAGTTGAGCAAGGAATAGAAAACCTGTTTAAAAAAATAATGACAAAAAACTTCCCAGAATTGTGGAAGAAAAAATCACGACCCATATCAGAACAATGGACTTAACACACACTGAAAGTAAAGGGATGGAAAAATTTTTCCAAGCTAATGGAAATGAAAAAAAGCTGGGTAGCAATACATATATTTGACTAAATAGACCTCAAAGTGAAGGTCAAAACAGATAAGGAAGGCCACTTCATAATAATAAAGAGATCAATACGACAAGAGAATATAACTCTGGTAAGCATATACATACATAATACAGGAGCATCCAAATACAAAAAAAGGAACTTCTGGAAGATAACAATGGAGAGATTGACAGCAACACAATCATAGTAAGAAACTTTAATACCCCATTGAAGAAACTGCAATCCCAAATGTCTCACTAGATCTGATGGAACTAATGGACATCTTAAGAACATTTCACTCCAAAGCTACAGAGTATACATTCTTCTTAAGTGAACATGGGACATTTTTAAAGATAGAGCACATGTTAGGACATAGGCTAAGTCTGTACAAATTCAAGAAGTTGGAGATTATATCAAGCATCTTCTCGCATCATAATGACATGAAATCAGAAATCAACTACAATAAAAACAATCATAATTAAACATGTGGAGGCTAAATAGCATGATATTAAACAATGAATGGATTACAAAGAGATCAAAGAAGAAATAAAAGAACATCTTGGAAACAAATGACAATTAAAGCACTACAAACCAACACCTATGGGACATAGTGAAAGCAATTGAGACGAAAGTTCATTGCTCTATAGTCGTACCTCAAAAAACAAGAAAAACTGGTAAAAAGTTATCTAACCCTACAACTTAAAGAACTAGAAAAAGAGCAAAAATAAAAGCTAAAGTAAGTAGAAGGAAGGAAATAATAAAGCTCAGAAATAAGTGGCGTAGGCTCCCCCCCTCCCCCCCAAAAATACAGAAGATCAATAAAACTAAAAGCTGATTCATTGAAAGGGTAAACAAGATTGAGAAACATCTTGCCAGCTTCACCAAAAATAAAGAGAGAGGACCCAAATAAAATCAGAAATGAAGGAAATGAAATAACAACAAACCCCACAGAGATACAAAGGATCATAAAAAAAAATACTAATAACAACTCTACTCCAATAAAATGGACAACCTTGACCAAATGGAAATATTCTGAGAAAAATACAATCTTCTAAAACTCAATGAGGAAGAATAAGAAAACCTGAATATACTGATAACTACTGATGAAATCCAAGCAGTAATAAATTCCCAGCACATGAAAGCTCTGATCTGGATGGCTTCACAAGGAAGTTTTACCAAACATTTAAAGAACTAACACCTTTCCTCCTCAAACTATTCCAAAACATTCAGAAAGTAGGAACACTTCCAAGCTCTTTCTAAGAGGCCAGCATTACCCTAATCCCAAAATCAGATAAACACACTGCAAAGAAAGAGAAGTACAGGTCAATATCCTTGATGCACAGAGTTGCAAAAATCCTCAACAAAATTCAAGCAAATTGGAACCAACAATACATTAGAAAGGTCATACACTACAACCAAGTGAGAGTTATTCCAGGGATTCAAGGCTGGTACAATGTTCATAAATCAATAAATGTGATACTTCACATAAACAAACTTAAAAATATAAACCACATGATCATATCAATAGATAACAGAAAAAACATTCAAGAACACCCAACACCCTTTTTTGCTGAAAACTCTCAACAAAGTGGGAATGGAGGGATCATTTCTCAACATAATAAAAGCATATATGAATGACCTACAGCTAACATCATACTCAATGGACAAAAGTTAAACCATTTCCTATAAGAGCTGGAACAAGACAGGGATGCTCCCTTTCACCACTCCTGTTCAACATAGTACCAGAAGTGTTAGCTGTAGTATCAGACAAGAAGAAGAAATAAGAGGTATCCAAATTGTAAAGGAGGAAGTAAAATTCACTGTTTGCAGTTGACATGATTCTGTACATATAAACCCTAAAGACTCCATAAAATACTACTAAATTTAATAAATGAATTCAGCAACATAGCAGGTTATAAAATTAACATCCAGAAATCTATCGCATTTTTATACACCAATAATAAACAGAAAAGGAAACCAAACAACCCCATTTACCATTGAAACATAAAAATTTATATACGTAGGAATAAATTTAACCAAGCAGGTAAAAGACCTGCACATGGAAAACTACAGGACATTGTTAAAAGAGATAGAGGATGAGAGGAAGACATACGTAAGTGGAGGACTGTACTGTGTTTATAGATTGGTAGAATCAGCATCAAAAAATGGCCATACTACCAAAAGCAATCTATAGATTCAATGCAATCCCTATCAAAACACCAATGGATTATTTCATAAACCTAGAACAAATATTCCAAAAATATATATGGAATTGAAAAAGACCCTGAATAGCCACATAAATCTTGAGAAAGAAGAAAAAATTTGGAGGGATAATAATGTCAAATATTAAGTTAGATTACAATGCCACTATACTCAAAATAGCCTGGTACTGGCACACAAACAGCCATATAGACCAATGGAACAGAACATAGAACCCAGAAACTGACCGAAGACATTATGCCCAATTAATATTTGACAAAGGAGACCAGAGCATAAAATGGGGTCAAGATAGTCTCTTTAATAAATGGTGCTGGGAAAATTGAACAGATATGTGCAAAAAATGAAGTTAGACCACGAACTTACACCATACACAAACTAAAAATGGATAAAGGACTTTAATGTAAGACGTGAAACCATAAAGATCCTAGAATAATCCATTGGTAGCAAAATCTTAGGCATCTCTAATGGACATACAGAAGGCCAAAAGGCATATGAAACAATGCTTAAAGCCACTAATCATCTGAGAGATCTAAATCAAAAGACCAATGAGGTACTACCTCACACCTGTCAGAATGGCTTCATCAACAAATCAACAAATGCCAATCCTGGTGAGGATGTGGAGAAAAGGGAACTCTCATACACTGCATTTGGGAATGCAAAGTCGTGCACCCACGAGGAAAACATTTTGGAGTTTCCTCAAAAAACTAAAACTGGAACTACCATTTGACCTAGTGATTCCACTTCTGGGAATATATCCCATGAATTCAGAAACACCCATCAGAAAGAATATATGTGTCCTATATTCATAGCAGTGCAATATAACCTGTAGTGCCTGTAATTAGTTGTCTTTAATTTTGCATCATCAAGGATTAGTGTTCTAAAAATGTTTCTTATATAGTGTAAATGATGAGTTTACAAAACTGTTAAAGGTGTTTTCTTAGAGACTTTTTAAAAATATTTAACCTGCATCCCGGTTTTTATAAACAGACTTAGCATGTATCAAGCTAATTTTTTTGCCTTGTTTTTAAGTGATTTTGCTCAGTTGATGAGTAGGACTTTTGGTTCTGATTCTCAATATTATAGACTCACGTGCTTTCATTTTTCTCTTTGTTTCTTCTCTATGTAACAGTGATTATATCTGCTAAAATGTTCTTAATGCTACTGATAAGAAATGTTAACTTGGGTGTCTTAATTGATTTTGTTACAGCATTTGCAAACTCCGCTCTTATACAAATACAGTTAATAAAATACTGTCTTTTATGTCACTTTTTATGTGTATATGCCAGATACTACCACCTTATTAGCATATTATTTTTAATATTTTTTCATCTTAAGGACATGAAATATGATTAATTTTCTGACAATAATTTATTGACCAAAAGCAATATTTATTGAACAGAATTCTTTAATAGTCTAGACAAACACTGTTTAGGTTTTGTATTTTTAATCCAGTAGATATGATTTAAATTTGCATGAAATTTGTTTCATGGCTTAGATTTATTATTTATACTTTATTTTTAGAATATATATTTTATTTAGAAATATTAGGATAATAATGACAATAATGGTCATTATTACTCTCTGCCGAGTATACGCTGTGTATCTGGCAGTGTTTTAAGCATTTTATATCATTTAGTCCTCACAGGAAGAAATACTGTTGTTTTGGTATTTTGCCTATGAATGCACTAGATATAGAGGCTAAATAAACAACTTGCCCAGAATTACACAAGTGGTGAAACACAAATTCAAGCCCAGACAATTTTACTTCAGAACAGGTCTTCTCTCATACCACATTTCTTTTTCAATAAATTGTTTTAAGGGAACTAATGGAATTTCTGTTTAGAATACTGATCCATCTTAAATAGTTATTTTGCTCTTTAATATTTTGGATTTAAGTACTTTTATCCTAACATATAGTTTTCTGTCATGAGTTACCCTTTTTAAAAATATGCTTTTTTGTATTTGTAGATATGCCTCTTCATGTTCGACGAAGCAGTGACCCAGCTTTAACTGGCCTTTCAGCTTCTGTCAGTGATAGTAATTTTTCCTCTGAAGAGCCTTCACGAAAAAACCCCACACGCTGGTCAACAACTGCTGGCTTCCTTAAGCAAAACACTGCTGGTAGCCCTAAAACCCGTGACAGGAAGGTAACCACTTCTATTTTGTCTTCTTAGTTTCTTCACGATAGTCAGTGTATGTGCTTAATGAACTTTTACCTCAAAGTTCAGATAGCTTTCTATTTTATATTGCCCTTGCATTTTCTGATAACACTTGTGCTATACATGATCTACATTTATTTCTCCATGTTTGAATAGATGATATGCTCACGTGATTAAAAATGAAAACTTTTTGATATTTAGTATGAAGTGTGTATAAGTAAAGTTCCTCCCGTGTTTCCTGTCTTACTTCTTGTTTCCTGTTTTTCTTCAAGGGCAATGCCCTTATTAGGTTTTTTTCATGTTTTTACAGGTATGTTTTACACATGTATACACAGGTACTCATATTGGCACACATGATACATTAAAGAAATTATAGCATTATGGGTTTTGAAGGATGAAAATGGACTCTATGGTCATTTATTCTAACTACTCAATTGATAACTTTATTTCTCTCCAAAATGGAAGTTTGTTTAGTCCAGTGGTCGCTAACCTTTTTGGACCTCATGGACCACCAGTGGTCTGCGGACCACCAGTTGGCAACCACTCCTCCAAAGGTTTCCTTAAACCAGCGTTTGTCAACCTTTCGGACCTCACAGACCACTAGTGGTCCGCAGACTAAGGGTCGGCAACCACTGCTTGTCTACAAAATGAAAATTTCTTTTTTGATCTAATTTATTTTAGTCCTGAACTAATTTTTTTAGTCTGTTTAGTTTATTTTTTCTAATTTTTTTATTAATGCTCTTTGTCATATATTTCTACAGAGCCCTATCATCTTATTTTGTTACAGTTATAACCCTTTACCTAATGAGATTTAACCTATGTTAGTCATTTTCCCTATTGAACCTATAGGATAATGTTCAGTTAACATCTGTTGAGTGAATTAATCAACATTTTTCAATGGTAGCACATTATGTATCGTGTGTGCACATATATGTATGTATATATATAGTATATATTGAGAAATGTAGAACTATACTAAGCACATCTTAATATAAAAATGAATGTGGCTTGAGGTTTGCTTTATTTGTTTGTTGCATCTATGTGAAAACACCCATTTTACATATTTCTTTTAACTTGGTTTTGCATTTCTACAAACTTCTTTGTACTAGTTCAAGTAAGAAAACAATTCTGTAATACATTACTGTAAACTGCAAAGCAACTACCAGGAAAAAAACAGTGTACTGAAGTCTCTGATTTTTTTGGATTAAGGATTTAACTGTAAGGCCCATTCTTCTGAAACCATTTATTATACATTTGATGAGGAATTTGGAGTATTTTTTTATTGAGATTAACTTGAAGTTTTAGAATGCTTTATCATGCAGTAGACTGTCCAAAGATAAAGAATCCAGTTTATGAATGGACCTCATGACATTTAACTTGTTTTCAGAATAGATCTAATTTCCATGGATATTCATAAATGTATAAAAAAGTTAGGCTGTGAGTTGAAGAGGTGAAGTGATTGAGGTGTGGGGCTGTGGGGGTGGGGAGGGGAAAGAAGAAAAAAAAGAGAAAGCACTCATGGACACAGACAACAGTGTGGTGGTTGAGGAGATGGAAGAGGGCCTAGAGGGAATAAATGGTGATGGGAAAAAAATTTCATTACTTTACAAAAATTATTATTATTTTATTGATTTCAGAGAGGAAGGGAGGGGGAGAGAGAGGTAGAAACATCAATGATGAGAGATAATCATTGATTGCTGCCTCCTGCTCTCACCCCATTGGGGATTGAGCATGCAACCTGGGCATATGCCCTTGACAGGAATCAAACCAGGGACCCTTCAGTCCACAGGCCAATGCTCTGTCCACTGAGCCAAACCTGCTAGGGCTAGATAGGTTTTAAAGTAGGTGAAGTATAGTGGGTCAGAAATCATTGAAAATAATCATTGTTTCCTTTATAACTCATTAAATTTCTTGGGTGTGTGGATCAGCTTCAGTTGTAGCAAAGGGGAGCACAGTAGCCATTTTAAACATAACAGGACTTAATACTAAGAATTTGTTTTAAGAGAGATTAAAAATGGTAGCAGAGTAAGTGGATGCTACACAGACATGCTTCCAAGACCAAACTGGAATTAAAACTGAAGTGCAAAAAATACAATACTGAATAATCAACTAAAGACTGGCTGGAGAGAACTCTAATAGTCAAGGATGGAAAGTGGAGACTACGTAGAGACTGGTAGGAAGTGTAGAGCAATGAAAGGGCTTGCCGGGTTCCCATAGACAACAGCTGAAGTTCTGGAGATATACACTGAGTGGCCAGATTATTATGACCACCTGAGCTTTGTAGGCTAATTA